GAAAATGACTTAGTTACCTAATATTTTATCAGACATTGAAAAAAATTGTAAACTTTTTAATCTAATAATTCGTATAAAAAGTACATTTTTATCAAATATATTTAATTTACATTATATCTTATGTGATTATAGTAGTTGCAGCCTAATAAAAAAGATAATTTGAAAACATCATTATATAAAACACATACAAAAAATTACGCAATACATATAAATGTACTTTAATTATTTAGCAAATAAAATATTATTTGCCTATAGAATAAGAAACAAATAATATAATAGTAACACAATGAGAAAAAGAATACGTGTGAATTTTCTTAGAGAAGTATGAATACCAATATTTACGAACAAAAAGTCTTTGAAAACTACTACTTTTTTATTGCTAGCGTTTAAATATAGGGAATCTGTAAGAAATTGGTTTTCATAAATAATGATCCTATATTATTTATTTTTAATTTTAAATAATTAAAAAATCCAAAAATTTGTAATACATAATGTATATTTTAATCATGACTCCATAATAATAAACTTTGAAGATGACTAAGAGTATCATAATATAATAGAATTCTAACTCTTCTTCTATCAAATATTTTAACAAATGATATGCTTCTCAATATTTTCTCATTGTTTCGATTGTTTTGTTTTGTCATTGCTGGAGAATAAAGAACTGATCTTTATCTTGAATTTTATAATCATTTTGTATGATGAATAATGTTGGACAATAAAAGCATTAAAGAAGTTATTAGGCACACAAATATTGCATATTTAAAAGAATGTGAAAGATATTATGATAAACAATTCTAAAATCATTGCAACAACCATGATGGTCAATAATTTTCAAATAATAGATTATATTGTTCGTCTATATTCCAAATAAACAACAATGTCGGAGTATCAAAACAATTTTGAATGTTCGAATGAAGTTGTCACTTTTTATAGAAATATTTATAATCTCATCGGTATATTATACTCGAACATATGTGCAATTATTTTAGAGGTACTTTCAAGTAATGTATGATGATTTCAAAAAATACTTTAGTACCTCGGGAGAAGTACATGTAACCAAACATGTAACCAAAATTTTGGAAAGTCAACTTTTATTTGGAGATAAAATTTATTCCCACCTCATTGGGCGATGCATCAATGAGGTATGCACCAATATGTCTAGAGACAGATGAATGTAGTAGTTTATACAATGATAAAAAAATACCAACAATTTTAATGACATAGTTAGTTATTTTATAGAGATATTTATTCATTGTTAGTAGAAGTACCTTATTACAAAGATTATACGATCATGAAGTTTGACTATATGTTGGGTCAGAATGTTTCTTAAGTGTTTGAATAAAATTAACGTTTTGCCAAATGAATTAAGAGAAATTTTGCAATAGTATTGATGTATTAGACTTCAGCGAGTATGAATGTTTCTTATAAGAAAGATGAAAGAAAATTTTAGTGGTTTTTGTATTAAGGATTTGTTTTTTATATATTTTAGTTGGAGGTTGTAAAACGTTATTTCACTCTTTTTATATTAGGACATCATTACGCTAATTCTAAATAAAAAAAATCACATATGAATTCATTTGTTCTATATTTTATTTAATACCTGCAATGATATGTTTAATAAATAAATTAATTTTTTTATAAACTTACTGAGCAAAAATCATTCAATACCACGTGCATCGCACGTGCACTTTACTAGTCATTTAAAAAAGAAAAAAGAAAAAAGTAAAGAAATGGCACTGCAAACTTGGAGATCTTCATGATCTATAGATAAGACATATATAGGGAGATCTTGATGCTCGTCGACTAAAACAGCGCCCCAATTTCACTCTGATAAAAGGCTTATTTTTGCAGAAAAAACTAAAAGATGGGATTAAATTCAAAATACCCAAACCAATAGACATAAATAAACAAGGAATTATGGCCTTAAAAGCTCAAACCATAACTTCCATGCTACAAATTCTATAAATAGATTCATCATACAATCACAACACACACACACACGCTCGAATTCATGTCCAGAACAGACACACACACGCTCGAATTCATGTCCAGAACAGACAACCAGCAACAAAAGTAATAAAAAACATAATCACCTTTCTAGAGTGATGAAAAACATAATCCCCTAATGAACCAGATGGTGAATACCAAATTAGAGCATTCAATTCGTATACTGGCAGATTAGACAAACAAAAAATGTTTCACAATAAATGAATTATGAACATGACGTATGCTATCTATCCGAGATACTGGACATTTAAAACACTAAGCGACCTCCTACAAATTGCACCAGTTTTGAGCGCCCGAATTCAGTACACTGATTGTAGCTTGAAAATAAACTCGTGGAAGCCTCTGTGCAAAAATACGTTCTTCAACAGAATATCACCATTCTGAACAATTCTCAAACTGATTTTGTTTTCTATTTTAGTAGCTTGTAAGCCTGGAGTGTTCTTCTTTAGAATGAACCTATAGGACACCGCAAATCAACTCTTAGTTATGCATAAAAAGCTTGCCACACTAATGTCCAAAATATGATCGTAGCACTTAAATTAAAAACTACATGATCCTAAACATTGAGCCAAACACATGATTACCACAAAATAGTAGATTACAATTCTCAAACAAAATAACTGACCTGTAGAAACTCCTATGAGAATTTCCATTCGTTACACCAACATGAACACTACAATCAAATATATTACTTTGACCTACCGATTAAAATATATATATAAGACCTACCCATTTATCTCATTTGTGAACATGTTTCGAGCAAAAATAACTAAGACATCCGCAAATGTGTTGTTTCTAATCCACCGCTCTTGGCCATCAAGTATCCAGCCACCAGATTATTTGAGGTCTATTAATAAGTCGGATATAGGCTATATGCCAGCAAACAGTACCACAGACTCTGATAGAGAGAACACCAAGCAAATACACACGTCGTACTGCAATGAAGCAACTTTTTCATAATCATCACCTTTCTTGCGGTTGTTTTCAAAGAACTTGCATCCTTTCTTCATCCGGTTCAGTTAAGGCCTATTTCCATTAACATAGTTTGACCTGGCTAATGGTAAGACCGACTGCCA